GCAGCTCCGTGCTTCCCTGTTCCCTACAACAGCTCCGTGCTTCCCTGTTCCCTACGGAATGAGCTCAGGACCTGCCTCCCTCCCTCCCTCCAATGGCCATTGCTGGAGGGTCAATCACGAACCCCCAGATATCTCCAGAGCAGCTGTTCTACCACCCAATGGCTTCTCCTGCTGGTTCCCTGCTGCCCTGCAGCCAGGAGGGCTGGACAGGGTCCCTGCATTAGGCAGGAAGAGAATAGCAGGCCGGTCCTAACCTTTGACACCTCTGGGATCATGGCAAATTTTCTTAAGCAAATGTGCCCTTGAGAAAGGACAGGATGTGATAATCAGCTCCACAACAAATTAAAATCTGCATGTTTACCATGCACAGCAGCCAAAGGGAAAAACGGGCATGGGCTTGGGTTTATGAGTCGTGTAGATCGTAACGGTCACTTAATCACAACTCGTAACTTCCTACTGCCCTCAGAATTCATTTCTGTTTCCTGCACTAGGCACAAAGTCATGCTGGATGCATGAGCAGAGCAGGAATAGTTGGAATCTGGTGTTGCAAGGAGAATTTCAGCAGATGCCTATTGCAAGGGGGGAGAGAGCAGCGTGTCCCTCTGCATAGCACAAGAAACACATTAGAATATGCCACGAAGGGAACATACTGTGACCCACATTTGCAAAACAGGAATGTCAAACTGTGTTCTCATCAGCCCTCCCCTAAAGAAACCATTTGGTTTAGTGGAATTAGGTTGGACAGGCTATCCAATGTGGCTTTTGTTTTTGGGAGTCTATCTCTAGCGCTGGGCAGTGCTTTGCTTTGTTTAACCATCAACAGCTTCCCTTACGTGACGAAACTTTGTCAGCTCTGTGTTACAGAATTAGCCAGAAAACAAAAAGCTTTCCAGAGCTGCTTTTGCTTTGGCTGGGAACTGCCCCCTCCGTGGCAGCCACGGCCGGGGCTGTGCTGGTGCAGAGGGGAGCTGTGGTGCCCAAGGAGCTGGGCTGAGCTGCCCATGCCAGTGGCAGTGAACCCCCCCAGCTCTGGGGCTGGGAGTCCCCCATTCACTGAGAGCTTTGGGAGTTAAACGCTTAGAAAGATCCCAGGGGCTCCCATCACTGCACAGGGGGTCATTTGGCCCCTGGAAAGGCTCATTGGAGAGGCTCCCAAAGAGACAGAAAATCTCCAGGATTCCTCCTTTAGGCCCCTCCTTTCCCTTTCCCTACCTGTGCTGTCGTCGTACACCACCGTGGCTGACCTCCACTTCAGGTACTGCACCAGGTCCAGGATGGCGTGGCTCAGGGAGGCATAGTCGGGGTACAGGTTGACATAGAAAGTGTCCTTGTTATCCAGAGGGTGGTGCTTCCATCGGAGCTGTATGTGGGGCACTTCCAGGGCGTTGCAGATGGACTGGACAGCGTTGGTGCAGGAGCCTTGGGAAGGTCCGAATATCGCGACGACCCCCAGGGCGAGCTGGTCACAGGCTGGTGGAGGGAGGGGGGATGTCAGAGATGGGGCAGCACTGGGCACAGACAGCTGTGCCTGCCCTGGGCAGGGGACAGTGGGTGAACAGACATCCTGGGCTTTAACAGCTCTGATATTGGGTAATTACAGCAGTGATGAGTCAGAGAGAGAGAGAGAGGAGGGGTTATGGCAGGTGGGGTCTGCACCCGTGGGTAGAGTCACAGAGCAGTGCCAGGCAGAGCTCTGAGGGAACCTCCACCACAAAACCAGCTGAAAAAGGGGGTCACTGGGCTGGGTGGGAGCATCCCAGTGATGTCCCTGTTACAGCCTCAGGCTCAGGCAGCAGGTTTCCTTTCTCCCAAACCAGAATCAAACTCCATGAACCCTCAGGTCACCAGTCCCCCAGCCCTTGCTGTGCAGTCCCATTTCTTCCCTCCCCCTCAGTAATTCAAGTGGGCTGTTTTTATCCAGTAATCAAAACTGACTGTTAGTAAGAGAGCAGAATATGTGAACACTGCCAGGGATACAGTGACACAAACACAAGCCTGGCCTCCAGACCTTCACTCAGGATTAGAGCAAACGCTGTGAAAGGAGTTTTGTGAGCTTTGCAGAGGGAAGAAAAAGTACTTGTTCCCCTTGTATTAAAAGGCCTGTGGAAGGTCAGCTCCAGGAGGAGTTCTCACCCAGATCTCTGGTGAGAACAAGGCAGAACGAGCTGCTGGGTCTCTGGTGAAACCAGACCTTTCTTGTGCTGAATAAATGGCCACAAAGCTGCTCAGAAGTTTGCTCTGCTCTTACCTTTCTTAGTTGCTTCAAAGCTGTCGTGGAAGTGTATCCTCTGGATGTCATAGGTTAGGGTTGTGTTAGGCAACAAAGTTCTGTTCCTGTTAATAATGTTGGCGGAGAATCGGAAGGCTTGTTCCTCAGCACTCATCACCTGGGTGTTGGGGCCATCCGCGTACTCAAAGATTCCTCCTGCAAGACAAAAACCCCACCTTTGAGACACGTAAAGTTTGATTCATGATCTTAAGCAGCAAGGGCGAGAAAACTCTGGGAACATTTGCAGGTGCAGCAGGGCTTGCTCCTCGTCCTGTCCTGGACTGAAATGAAGACGTGGAGACCCTCGGGTTTTTCGTTATATGCTGCCCTGTGAGAGGTTCAGGGTGGCAGCTTTGTGGGGCAATGGGAGGCAATTTAGAGTCTTGGAACATGTTTGTGAGACAGACGAGTGGCTTCCCATAAAAGTTTAGGAGCAGACTTTGGGAAGTGCAGACAGGCTTACTGCCCAGCTGCAGGGCTGCTCCGGGTCTGTGCTGGGAGGAATGGCTGGGCACAAAGCTGGCACTGCCCTCCCCTTGCACTGCTCCTGCCTCATCACCCACCTCCTCCTGGCACGGGAGGCAGGTGGGGCAGTGCTGCCCATGGAGATTTTTAGTGCTGTTCTCAGTGCCCTTCTCCTCTTTTACTGCTCCTCATGTTTAGTTCTCCAAGTTCTTAATTCTGACCAGCAGAGATTTGCTGCCCTGCAGCCCCTGCTCAGCACTGCACAGCCCGGGTGTGGCTCTGCCCTGTTCAGAAGCTGTTAATGCCATTACACCTCCCCAGGGGCAGCGAGCTCATGGCACAGCATCGCTGGCTTTCCTGGCTCTGTGAGCCCTGTCCTCAGTTCCCACTGACAGCCACTCTAATTGCAGTGGGTGCAGTGTGGGTTGTGTAACGCCGTGTCCTTGGCTCTGGGACGTGGGATCCGTCCTGCACCCCTCGCAGGACCTTGGGAGGACACAAACCCTGTTCTGTCTTACTAAAAAGTAAACCAAAATATTTAATGGATGAGCGAGATAAGCAAGTACAATTGGTAACAGATGGTCTCGGGGTTCATTAGCAGAAGGAAAATCTTCCTCTTCAATTTAAGGTAGTCCTCAAATGTTTTGTGGTAGACAGCAGATGTCTGCTCAGCCCTGCTGGCTTTCAGGCAACAGCATTAATCCTTCTTCAGGAGCTGAGCACGTTCTCTGTGGTTTTGTGGCAGTTTGGTGCTGGCCAGGAGTGCCAGTTTGGCCGGAGCCAAGCTGACATCTCTGCTGCCAGCTGTGCCCTGGGTGTCCTCCTGGGAGCCCGAGCAGAGCACGAGACTTTGGTGGAGGTTTCACAGCCAGGGAGCTCCAAAGGCCTCTGACTTTCTGCTCCCCTTGATCGTGACAAGTCCCTTCTCTCCTCTTCCTCTGCAGCCTTTGTGTGTCCCTGTCCCCAGGTGTGAAGGGAGTGTGGGCATTAATTTACATTCATAAATGCCCAGAAAAGTTTGAGCTGTTCCCTGCACGTCTCTGCTAGAAAAAAATACTGAACTTGTTGCTAATTTTGGTAATGGGGGAAAGAATAAAGAAAAAGAGGCTGAGTGTTTGTTCTGGAGACTCATTCAGTCCCCCGTGATTTTCAGCCCGTCGCTCATGACCAGGTTTTCATCCAGAATGCCAGGCAGTGTGGGCAAGAGCACAGCAGAATTGTCCACGTGCCTCATTCTCACTGCATCATGACAAAACATTTGAGTTTTCACTAGAGCAAAGAAAATTATTCATCCACATCAAGGTTTGGACGTGCTGGAAGCTCAGTTTAAGTTTCTTAGCGCAGAGAAAGTTCACCCACAGCATTACAACAGAAACAATAACCAAACCTAAAGTGAGTGTGAGATTCATCCCCATCTTTCCACTCAAAGCTGCACTGTCCAGGCCATTTTAGGAGGGGATTTTTTGTTCTGTAGCGTCGTCCTGAAGTGATAACTGGGTTCATGTTACATTGATTATCCACTAGCTGGCCTTAGGCTTTCTCCCAGCCCAGCACTTTCAGGGTTGCATTGGAGCATGTCTTATTATGAGAGAATATGGAAGGGCTGGGTATGTGGATTATGGGTGTTTGATTCCAAATAAATTCCCGTTCCAGACAGCCAACTGGATATAATAGGCTTTTTGACAGGAAAGAATTTTCTGTGCAGCCACCCAGTACCTTGAATTCAGTGCCAGGCAGGCAGAGAGCACAGGCAGCAGTGATGCATTTTGGGTTCCACTGCTGGCAACACACCGGGAATACACTGGGACA